CTCCAATACTTTGGCCACCTGATGAGAAGAGCTAACTCATTGGAAAAGACCCTGATACTGGGAAAGATTGAGGGCAGGAGGAGAAGGGGACGACAGAGGATGAGATGGTTGGATGGCATCACCGACTCAATGGACATGAGTTTGAGTAAACTCCGGGAGTTGGTGATGGACAGGGAGGCTGCCGTGCTGCAGTCCATTGGGTCGCAAAGAGTCGGACAGGACTGAGCGACTGAACTGATTGACTGAGGCCTCCAGGGTTCTCGAGACCACAATTCTAGCCAGAGCGCTCAGGGGGTCCACGCAGGACTGGGATCGGGCAGTGGGCCCTGGACTGAAGAAGGTGGCGAAGGAGGGCTCAAGGGGTGGGGAGGGGACCGACCCCAGCGTGCCTTAGTGGCTTCTTGCAGTCGGACCCGGGTCGCCCCCGCGCGGTGTCTGAAGGAAAGTGCAGCGTTCGGAGATGCGGCCCTTAGGCACGGCCGGGTCCCGCGCTGCCGCAGCGCCCTCCGCCGACTAACCGGCCAGCGCGTGTGCTAGTGAGACTGAGTCCTCCTGTCCCGCAGGCCTCGGGTGGCGGCCTGCGTCAAAACTACACTTCCCTGGATGCCTTGCGCGCCTACCTGGCTCCTGGGAGTTGTGGTCGGGAGCGGGGCGGGCTCGCGCAGGGTGCGCGGGAGCGGGAACTACATGTCCCAAGATGCAGCGGGGCGTCGCGGGGGCCGGGGGTTTGAACGGAGGGTCTCCCGCCCGTGGCGGGGCTGCGTCTACTGCGGAGGGTGCGGGAGGCTGCGGCGGCCGTGGCCGGGGTCCGGGCCGGGAGGCTGAGGCTGGCACGGCGGGCGCTGGGGGCGCTGCCCCCGAGGCGATGATGGGCAAGGAGGAGGAGATAGCGCGGATCGCCCGGAGGCTGGACAAGATGGTGACCAAGAAGAGCGCGGTGAGGGGCGCGGGCCGTCAGGACCCCGGGACCCCCGCCCCGCCGAGCCCCCGCCGAGCCTGCCGAGGCCCCGTCAGGGTCGCGGTGACCATTCGAAGGGCAGGACGAGGCTCCGCCCTGGCAGAGACTCTCAGGACGCGGGGAGACCCCCGCCAGAGGCCGAGACCCCCATTCTGGGCCAGCCCTACCCTTCACCTCGCACCCACGGCAGAGGCCGCGATCCGACCTGGACCTTGTCCCGGGAACCACCCGCTTTGGACTCAGACCCCAACTGTCAGGCTGAGACCCCGCAGGCCTGGGATTCGCCCGCTTCCACCCCTCACTCCAGACCCCCTCGGGAGGCCGGGCTGGTGGAGACCCTCCTCGGCCCCGCCCCTCCAGGCCTCGCTGAAGTCCGGGCCTGTACAGCCCTGACTGGCCGCCTGCCGCCTTGGCCTTCCCTCCCCATCCTGGGCATCCTCGCAGTCCCCCAGAACTCCCCGCCAAGGCCCACCCCGACTCAGAGCCCTCTGTCCCACCTTAGGTCTCCCACATCCTTTCTCCGCCTTCAAGAGTTTGGAATGTGAGATTGGACCCCTTGTTCCCTGGAGCTGTGGCGCCTCCCCTGCCTCTGCCTGGTCTGGGGCTGCGGTGGCCCCGACGTCTCATTTCTCCAGCCAGCCTGCCAGAGGGCTTTCTTGGGTGGGAAGGCCTTTTCTTTCCTTGTCTGTTCAGTCGCCCAAGAACCAGGTTGCCCTAATAAATTCTTTCCCTTCCATAGCCATGGCTCAGCCAGCAGCTCCTGGGGAGTGGGTAAATGCGTAGGCACCTCTGGAAAGAGCCCTAGGAGGCCCTGAGCCTGCCCTGGGAATCACGGGGCAGCGGACTCCAGCCGGCCATGCTCGCTGTGGGGCTGGTCCTCCCTTGTCCCTAGGCCAGTGAACCTTTGGGAAAAACTGAGCCGGGACTCAGGGCAGCTAGCAGATGGGCCTCCAGTTCCAGGCCCCTCTCAGTTTTGGGCCTAGGTGACCTGCCTATGGTCACAGGAAGCATCTTTGGTGGGTGGTACCTGCCTCTAGGGGTGGAGGGGGTCCTGCTGCTCCTAGAGAGGCTCAATAAACAAAACCTGCTCTCTCCCCAGGCTCAGCTCTTGGGGTGGGCAAGTGGTGGTGGGAGTTGTGGGGGAGGTTCACCTCAGGGCTTAAGATGCCTGCCCAACCACCCCAGGGCTGTGTGCCTTCACTGGTGGTTTGGGGCTGGCTTTTGGGCCGAGCATGGTTGAGTCGGTCTTTGGACAGGTTTCTCCACCCAGGCTGTGAAGGGGGCTGGTTCCCATGCTATCATTCATCCATCAAGCAACGACACTGCCTCATCCCCAAACCCTGCACAATGTTCTCACCCCTGGGAGGTGGTGGGCAGCCCAGAGCAGGGATGTGGGAACATCTATGGATGTTTCCAGAGATGCCAAGAGAAAAAAGTTGCTTTCCCCAGAGGAGACAAAACAAATGCCCCCCAGGTCGGGGCAGAGATGGGTCATGGGACCCATGGAGGACTGGGTGGGGCCAGGCAGGACTAGAGGAGGGGACACCTAGGTGGTGCACCGCGTGGATGGCAGTCCAGGGGAATATGAGGAAGGGGGACAGATGTGGACTGGGAAGGGCGTGAGGAGGTTTGAGGCACCATGGACTGGTGAGTGAGAGCCAGCAGAGACTTCTGGTGGGTCCTAGTGCCTTCAAGGCCCTTTGCGGAGCAGGGAGTCACAACTGGGAATCCTGTTTTATGCCTCCCTGGTCTGGAGGCATCAGCAAGCTGGTCTCCTGCAGCCTGGGGCTCCATTTTGGGGAAGACGATTGCTGAGTTGCACTGTGCCCTTGTCTCTGGTGACCATTTGTCCCCTGTGAGGAGCTTATCATGGGGCTGGACTCTGCAGGGGTGATGAGGGGGAGGCTGCAGCCTGAGCAGAAATGCCATCCAGACTGGGGAGGCACAGGCTGTGCCCCTCCCACAGCTAGGCTGCGCCCTTCCCACAGCTAGGCTGCCTTGGGTGGCTGCCTCCCCCACGTCCTCAGAGAGACACACACACGTGAAACCTCACTGGTGGCTTGCCTGAGGCTTCTGTGGAGGAAGGCAAAGCCCAGAGCGGGTGGGGTGGTGCAAGGCCTCCCCCTCACTACAGAGCTCTACAAGGAGATGGGGGCAGGTGTGTGGCTGGTGGTGGAAGCAGCAGGGCCAGAGGTCCTGAAGGGCCCCAGGGAGCTGTCTGCCGTGGCGTCATGTGGCTTATGTGTGTGTGCCTGGAGGAAGCAGACGTGGGCGAGAGTGCTGGTCAGAGAAGGGAGACAGGGCTCTGTTGGCCCAGGCGAGGTGACACGGCTGGAGGGAGTGAGTAGGGTGTGGGGATTCATGTGAGGAGAGCAGAGTGCCCTGAGGTCTTAGCCTCTGCAAGGGGCGCTGAGGAGAGGCTGCCAGAGTTACGTTGGTAGGGGACATGGGACCAGGCAGGAGTGGGCACTTCTCAGGGCTGTGTTTCTTCCTGATGTGGCGCCCCTGCCAGGGAGGGCTGTGGCCCTTTCCCCTGTTGGCCCTGTGGTGGTGGGTGCAAAGCCGCTTCCCTTATTGTGCCTGCGTTCCCGGGGTATCTGACCCAGGTGGATCTCCAAATTGTCACTGCCTGTGTTTGTTCCCCCAACCCTCATGTGTAGGATGAGGTGGGCTCGCCCACCAAGAGCTGAGAGTCATTTATGTGGGTCCTCCCTTCTTCCAGGAGGGAGCCATGGACCTGCTGCGGGAGCTGAAGGCCATGCCTGTCACACTGCATCTGCTGCAGGTAGGGCCCCGTGAGCCCCCCAGCTCCCAGCATCTAGCAGGGTTTCCTGCCCCCGCCCTGCCCTTGGTTGGCATGAATCCTTGCCCCTGAGGAAATGGTCCCTGCCTTTCTCTGTTGCTTCATGAGATAGGAATGGGCATTCAAGAGAAACCAACGGTGTCTCTCACTGAGGCTTGTGCAGATGGAACGGTCACCCTCAGGAAGGGCGCCCCCTCCCCTCACTGGTCCCCAGCCTTGCCCTGTGGGAGTCACCGTGGGTCTGTGGGGAGGGTTTGCCCGCTGCCCCCAGCCTGGCCACTTGCCTTGCAGTCCACCCGTGTTGGCATGTCCGTCAATGCCCTGCGGAAGCAGAGCTCAGACGAGGAGGTCGTCACACTAGCCAAGTCCCTCATCAAGTCCTGGAAGAAGCTCCTGGGTATGGGTCAAGCAGCCTGGGCTGAGTTCGGGGGCAAGGGGCACCCAAGACTCTGGCCCCTCGCTGGATAGCACTGGGTAGGGTGCTGGCTGTGCTGTCCTGGAGCAGGGAGTGACCAATCTAGGAAGCACCAGGAGGAGAGGGGCTCCATGAGGAGGGAGGGGAGAGGTGGAGGGGGGCTGCTTTAAGCCCTGGAGGGGGACCTGACAGATCTGGGGGAGTTCACATGGGAAAGTGTCAGGGCAGCCAGGGGGCAGCGCCGGACCTAAGGGAGGAGAGCTTGGAGGGGAGGTGGAGGAGGAACAGGTAGGAAGGACATGGGGTTAAGAGGAGGAGGATGGGGAGTGGTCTGCAGCCACTCAGAGGAAGTGGGGCTGTGGGGTGACAGGGATGCCACCACTGGACCCCGAGGTGCCCCTCCCTTCCCAGCTCCTCCTGGGCTCTGTCCAAACCCTCAGAAAAGAGAGCTGCATGTCCTGGGCTCCATCTCTGGGGTCTGTCACTCTGCGGAGAGTTGCTGTACTCAGGAGGCCTTTCCAGGATCTTCCTTGGCTGGGGAGAGAGGACTCTGGTCGTTAGCAGGAAGCTGGGGTTGGAGGCAGGGTCCGAGGGCTGGGGCTGTGCCTTGGTGGTGGTCTGCCCCCCTCCCTCGCTGGCCCTGCACTGCCCTCTTGGTCTGCCTTCTCCCGGCCAGCCCTTCCTTCTTTCTTGGTACCTGTAGATGCTTCAGACGCCAAAGCCAGGGAGCGGAGAAGGGGCGGGTCTCTGCCCACATCATCCTCCAAGGAGGCCTCCGAGGCCCAGGACCCCAGGTAGCGCTTCCAGAAGGCACATGCCTCCCCTTCATGGCCCCGCTTTCTCGGCAGACCAAGGTGCTGAGTTCTGGGAGCCCTGGGGTGGGGGAGCTGAGGTCCCCAAAACACATTGGTCCTTCCTGCTTCTTGGAAGGGACTCTCCCTGGGGTTAGCCTCTTGCTGCACACTGACCCCCTAGAGACTCCTCTGGGTCTTTTCAGACCCCAGCATCTGAGGGGAGGCTGAGTCTGCCTGGCTGCACACGGCTGACACACACCCTGAGCAGGCCTGGGGGAGCCTGCTGCTCTCATCCCCAGCTCCAGGCCCAGTCCAGGGGTGGTTCTCACTGGCCAGTTCTGGATATCCCCCTTGGCCTGGTGTCTGTTGATGCCAGTCCCTCCTTCCCTGGGGATGCCCCAGCCTGTGGTGTGATGCAGGTTCTGGAGCCATGAGGCCTCTCTGCCACCCTGGTGATGGCTGTGGCTGAGAGGCAGCTGTGCTCTTGACCTCACTGGGCAGCAGTGGCCAAGGGCCAGGAAAAGCTGACCCTGAATCCATGGCATGGCCTTGTCGAGACATGGGCTTATCTGCCCACCTGCATGTGTTGTTTTTCCTCCAGGAAGCTGCCTGCTTCCACTGACTTCCATGGAGATCATGGGGTCACGAGATGTAAGGGTGTGAGAGGAGGGCTGGCTGGATACAGGGGGTACCCAGACCTGCGAGGGGTAGGGCTGCCTGTGTATTGGTACCAGGTCTTGGATGACCCCTAGACCCACCTGGCAGTCTGCATTGGGCACTGTGGCCCCATGTTACAGGCCTCCCTGAGGCAGAGACCCCATCTGGGATTGTGCCCCATCCAGTGAGCCTCACTGCCTCTGGCTGGACTGCATGGACACGCTGGAGCTGACTGCAGATGGGCAGGGTTGTGGGCTGCTGTCACAGTGGAGCAGATGAAGTCTGGGGGCATCGTGACTGTGACGTTGGCTTTTCTGGGGACCACATCTCATGGGGGTGCATGTGGCCCGAGCGGGCCTTTCTCCAGCCACAAGAGGCCAGAGCTGCCCAGGACACCCTCGACACCAAGGATCACCACGTTTCCCCCGGTGCCAGTCACCTGTGACGCTGTGCGAACCAAGTGTCGTGAGATGCTGACTGCTGCCCTGCAGACAGACCGTGAGTGCTTGGGTTGGGGCCATGCAGCAGACCTCAGGGTCCTGGCTCCTGACACACATTACATTCCCAGGCCTGGGCCCTGCCTGCCTGCAGAGGCCTGAATCCAACTGGTTGCTGTTGCCCTTGGGGGCGGGGATCCCACACAGGTTGAGGCGTGGGGGGTGGAGCTGGCAGGCAATTGACCAGGGCTCCTTCTTACAGATGACCATGTGGCCATTGGTGCAGACTGCGAGTGCCTGGCGGGTCAGATCGAAGAATATATCCTTTGTATGGGGGCTGGGCGCTGGGTGGGCTGAAGTTTCTGGGGGTTGCAGGGTTAAGGCCCAGTTCCCTTGGCGGCCACTGTGTGGTCCCCTGGACAGGGAGTTGGGCAGTCGGGGGCCCTCCTAGACCCTATGGGGTCCGACCGCGCCTGCAGTGGACTTGGGTCCCAGACCCTGCGCCTGCAGTTGGGCCTCAGCCAGGAATATGTCAGTGTCTGGAACCCGTGTTGCTGGCTTTTCTGACACAGTCCCCACAGAATGGCCCTCACTATCCCAGGGATGGGTTGGAGGGCAGGGCATTGGCCTTGGCACAGGTCCTTAAATGCCCGCACGTATCTTCCGGGACGTGGGAAACACAGACATGAAGTACAAGAACCGCGTGCGGAGCCGCCTCTCCAACCTCAAGGATGCCAAGAACCCTGGCCTGCGGCGCAATGTGCTGTGTGGCGCCATCACACCCCAGCAGATCGCTGTCATGACCTCAGAGGTGAGCCTACCAGGGGCGCAGGGGGCTGCCCCTGGGGGGCCGCAGGCTAAGCATGTGCCCCTTGCCCTAGGAGATGGCTAGCGATGAGCTGAAGGAGATCCGCAAGGCCATGACCAAGGAGGCCATCCGCGAGCACCAGATGGCGCGCACAGGTGGCACACAGACGGACCTGTTTACCTGCGGCAAGTGCAGAAAGAAGAACTGCACCTACACACAGGTAAGCGCTGGCCGCCTCTGGGGCCCCACCCTGCCCTTCCTCTGACAGCTGGGTCCCACTTGCGTGGCCGTACGTGGGGTGCACTGTGTGAGAGATGCTGAGGTTTGGGTCTGACTTTAGCCTCCGATGGGGCTGGAAGTTGCTGTCACCCTTGGGGCCTCCTCCTTGCCGAGGTCCCCAGTAAGCAGCCTTTGGTGGTGGGTATAGTGTGCTCTGGGTCACTAAAGTTGGGGGGGGGCCTGGCCCAACTGGCAGGAGGATGGGTGCCCGGTAGTGGCAGTGGGAATACACTGAGTCATGGAGGTAGACACTGATGGGGCCCCAAGAGATGTCAGGGGGCCCTGTAAGCAGAAGGCAGTTGGGGTGGCCCCAAGGTTGGGATTGCTGGGTAGGCTCAGCCCAGGTCATCCAGGAGGGCCAAGGTGTCATGAGGCCAGTCCTGCCTGAGGATGTAGCGGGTGCTCCCCAGGTTGTGACTCCAGGGAAGTCCAGCTCCCAGGGGCCTCAAGCTGCCAGTGACTGAGGCCCTGGGGCTGGGTACCCCGCCATCACGGCCCTTCCGACAGGTGCAGACCCGCAGCTCTGATGAGCCCATGACCACCTTCGTTGTCTGCAACGAGTGTGGGAACCGCTGGAAGGTAGGGGTGAGCCCAGGCCGTCCTGTTTTTGGAGGTGGTGGTCTGAAGTGTGAAATTGGGGATGGCCATGCCAGCCAGGCTCTCGGGAGCTGTGACGGTGGTGGATGGAGACCCCAGCCCTGCCTCCTGCCCTCTGGGGTCCTGCAGGCCACATGGCGGCTGCCTCTTGTCTGTTTCTTACAGTTCTGCTGAGCCCTTGTGCACGTGTGCCTGCAGCCTTGGGCCGTGGCCTCTGCTGGCCAGTGCCCTTTCCCCATCCTCTGCCGACAGATACAGACACAGCTTCTTGGAAACCTGCCCTCAGAAGGCAGCACACCCTGCCCCCTGTCCTACCTGCAGCGCACCTTTCCCCTCAAATCATTAAATGTTTCTTTTTGCCACTGTTTTGTCCCTAGCCATTGGTCCTGGTGGGCCATGCACAAGCTTGGGCTTCAAGCTGGGTCCCCATCCCCTCACTTCTGGTCTGTCATCCCATCCCCCCACTGCTGTGGGAACAGGCCATCTTCCTGGGACCAGGTGACACAGGCTTGACCCAGTGGGACAACCCTGGAGCGAAGAGCCAGTGTGTGCCCATGGGGGGCAGGGCTGGGCATGCATAACATGAATGTCTGGAGGGAGGGGCCTTGGGTACACAGAGGACCCAGGGTCTCATGACCTCTCCAGGTACTGCAGCTCAGGGTCCAGGGATCATGCAGGGAGGTGAAATCTGGGCCCACAGCTGTGCCTGCCTACAACCCTTCAGGATGTCCCTACCCCACTGCTCGTGGAGGCAGTGTGAATGGGGGTGGACCCCTGATGAGGGTCCTGGGCCCCAGTGCAGCTCTGAATTGCTTTACCAACTGGTAATTCAGGGATCAGAGTGGCAAGCCTGTGCCTTGTGGGGCCTCTGACACAGTATAGGTGCCACTGCCTGGCACCCAGGTTCTCAGAGAGGTCACCGTGTCAGTGTCCTGCCCCAGCTTGCCCAGCCTCTGGAGACAGTCTTTGATACCTGCCAGGGACCCTGCCTGCCGAGGACCTGGCCAGTGCCTCTTGTTGTGTTGCCAGCTTTGATGGTAAGGTGCCTTGGGGGCTGCACTTACCTGATCACAGGCCCTCAAACGGGGAGGGCTGAGCACCTGGTCCCTGCACTGGGCAGGGCTCCGCCCCTGCTGGGGGTCCCAGACAACTCCTCATCCTCTCAGAGAGGAAAGACTTTTGCTTTAAAAATATCTTCAATAATAAGATTCTATTTTGGGAGTAAGAGGAGCGGAGTTAAATATGAAAACATTTTCTTTTTTTGATAAGACACACAGTGCCATGTTTCCTGGTTTAAACTCAATGATCATATAAAAGAGAAATCAGGTCCTGCTGCCTTGAGCCTTGTTCTGAGGTCCTCAGTCTGATCCCAGGGTACAGACGGCTCCAGGCAGAGGTCTCCTTGTGTTATAGATCTAAACAGAAGGTCTGCTCTCCACGAAAGGGTTTCCCAGGGACCCTGTGAGGTTTGTGGCTCCAGGATGCTTCCAGGGAAGGTACCTCCTTTCCCCACGTGGGAACCCCAGCAGGAGGGCTCCGTGGCCAGAGGCAGGGGATGGTTGATTCAAGAAAGGTCGCCTGGGCTCAGAGGCACTCACACCTGCCTCTCAGCCGGACCCTGGGACACTGCATCCCCCGGGTGGGGAAGGGGCCTCTGGCACTGCACCTGGCACTCTTGCCTGGGACCACACCAGAGTGCTGGGCCTGGTGGGTGTGCCTGACACCTGCTGAAGCGCTCTCATGAAAGGAGTCTCTGCCGCGGGAGGCGTCCCACATCTGGGCGGCCACATGGGCAGCCTAGGCCTCGCTGGAGGACTGGGAGGCTCCCTGGAGCAGCAGGGCGCGGTAGGCGGGGGAGCTGAGGAAGCGGGGGTAGGAGTCTCGGTGCATCAGTGTGTAAATCTGCAGCTGTGCGTCATCGAACGTGTGCGCCGACGGCTCCTGCATCTTCTTGTTGATGCCCTCCCGCACCCGGGAGTCCAGGCTCACCTGCGGGACAGGGGCCACGGTCAGGGGCGCGGAGGCGCCCCGGCCCTCCCACCCCGGGCCCGGCGCGGCGCACCTCCTTGGGGGACAGGATGGACACGTAGTCCTCGTAGATGAGCCGGGCCTTCTCGTCCACGACATGTTGGTTGGCCTCGGCCTTGAGCTCCTCGCAGGCTAGCCAGAAGAGCATGTTCTCCTCGCTGTACTCCGTGCGCAGGAACTCCCGGAATACACTGCGGCCCGCGGGGCTGTGCATCAGCTTGTCGAAGGACTGCGCCCAGCTTCGCACCTCTTCTGGGGTCGGCGTCGGCGTGGCGCTGCGGGGGGCATCCGGGCATCAGCTGGCCGCATCAGGCTCCGCCCCCTCCCGCGCAGAGCCCCAGGGCCAGACTCACCAGACTTCGCAGCTGGGAAGGGGCTGCAGCCTGCTCTCCCGCGAGGCTCGCCAGGCCCGCCGCCGCTCTTCGTTCCTGCGGGCAGAGGGGACGGTGGCACTGTCCTCCAGGCACACGTATGCATGCAGGACACTCTGCACACAGGTGTTAGTACGGGCAGGAGGCCTCGGGGCTCTCAACACACAGGTGAACCTGTTGCAGGTGGGTCTGCTGCTTTCCCAGCCTTTGGTCCTGCGTTGGGACCGTCTTCTTGCCTTCGGGGCTTCACAGGCCCCAGGTGTCAGCCTCCCTCCCTCCCTGGCCTGACCTAGACCCTTGCTGCTTTTTTCTGCAAACCCCACTGATGTGGTGAAGGCCCAGCCCGTGTGTCTGACCCCTGACTCTCCCCAGGGGATCTGCTTCCCTCCTTAGCTCCAAGCACAGCATCAGTGATGGCTTCCAAGTCCACACCTCCAGCCAGACCTCTCACCAGGATCACTGACACGGCTAAGGACATCTCAGACTCAGGGTTTGGACAGAACTCAGTTCCCTCCTTACCCCCACCTTTCAGATGCCAAACTCCTCTCCTGGTCCCTACAGGCAAAGGCTAAGTGGGTCCTAACAGTTCATGGCCTCCCATCTCTAACCCCAGGCAGTTTCTCTGTTTCAGGCCTGGGCTCAGGTCTCAGTTGTTGGCTGGTCAGCTGATCCCCACTTGGGTCCCCTCAGCGCTGTCCACTCAACAGCCAAAGACTGAAAATCTGCAAAGGGCCATATGCCTCTGCAAGGCACAAAAACCCCAAGAGGTTCCCTAGGTGCCTAGAAACTAGTTCACCCCTGGAGGCTCCATGCCTGCCCCCACCCAGGGACTGTCCCAGGGCCAAGTCTCTGCTCAAAGCACCTCCACCTGACGGTCTGTAGGACCTGCTTTTGTCTTGTTCTGTTTTAGTCCCCAGGGCTAGTCTGGGCCAGCTTACAGAGACAGACAGACAGACAAGACAGACACCGCACCTCCCCCCCTCCCCCCCCCAGCTTACAGCAGAGACGCAAACACACATGCACGCCAGGTGCCTACATGTTACAGTAGACACACACACACACCCCCCAGCTTAGAGTAGAAACACACAGCTAGCTTATAGTAGATACATACACACACACACACGCATGCACGCCAGGTGCCTGCATGTGGATGCCACCTGCACTGACCACTGGTCACCAAGCCCCTGTGCTTGGTGCTGTGGGTGCTAAGTGCTGTGGGTGGCAGGGGTACCCTACTTGGAGGTGATGCCTCAAAAGCCTCCTAAGGGCTAAGGAGCAGGGTCCTGGATCCTAGGTCTGCTCAGCGCCCCCTCCCCACCAGGCACATGAAGCATTCCCCAGGCCCACATACCAAGAGCAACTGCAACAGCAGCACCAGCACAAACAGCAGGGGTTTCGCCTGGGGGGAGCCGGGGGGGCCGCATCATGACTGGACATCGAGGGGGGCTGGTCCGCCTCCTCTGGCCCTGTTTGCTGGGGGAAGACAGGGCTGCCTCAGCCTCCAGGCAGAGCCCATGGTTACCACCCGCTTTCCAGCCCCAACTGCCCACTAGAGGCCATGCTCGCTCCCAGGGCTATGACGCTTGTGGCCTCCCAGATGTCCAAGAGTCTCTGAACTCTTAGTCATGCCCTAGCCCCCACCCCCCAAGGGACAGAGGCCAGGGTGGAGGCAGCCCACCTGCTTCTCAGCCTCAGGTGGGGTGGGCATGGATGGGTGGAGGAAGTTGCCAGGGCTCCGCGGTGCCTGTTCCAGGACACCTGTTCCTGTCACCACAGCCTGGGGGTCTGAGAAGAGAGGCCGGGGTTCTCACTGAGAACCTGACACCTGCCCTGGCCTGCACCCCGCCAGGCATTCTGAGTCTCTGCCTACCTGCCTCCCTGGCCCCCCACCCCCACAGGCTCTCCCCGGCCTCCCACCTCCAGACTACTCTGCCCAGGCCCAACCCCCACTCTAGTCTACACCACAGTTGTGAGGGGATGGGGATCAGGAAGGAGGGGACCCCAGACAAGATCTCCACAGGAGGTTCTGGGACACCCCCATCTGCTTGCTCCCTGGGAAGCCGGAAGCAGGGGTTCCTCTTTCTTGGTTTCCGGCTCCTGGCCCCTCCCAGGGGGCTGCAGGCCCCCAGAGTCTGAGGCTTTCAGGGGTGATGATAGACATTTGGAACCTCCATCCCAGCTCCCTCCATCCCAGGTTTTCCAGGGGATGGGTGGTGGGAGGTGGGGAGGCTGCTTCCCACCAGGAGTTCGGAAGGGCTGCTGGGCCTTGGAGGACCCCCCGCCTGCTCCCAGGGACTCTGCAGAGGGAGCAGACCAGGCCTGTGGCACGGAGCCCTGGAGTAGGACTTGGGGTTGAGGCAGGACGTCCTAAGGGTGCAGGCAGTGCAGCAGGAACGGGTGAGGAGGGCTGAGAGTCACCAGGCACCGCCGCCTTCTCAGCCAGGACGCTGGCTCCGCACCCAACCTTCGCTCCCGCACCCAACCTTCGACTGGCACCTCCGGGTCTCCCAGCCTCCCTTCCCCTCCCCATCCCCAGGCTGCGGAAACCGCTGCGGCCCCAGGCCTTGACGCAGGCAGGCGGTGGCGCGTTTTGCTCCCGGGCTGGTAGGAGCCGCGGGGTCCCTTCCGCTCGGAGCGGCATCGGGGCGCACCTTCCCCTTCCGCAGTGCGGGCGTGCGAGGGGTGCCCAGTCCCACCCGGATGAGCGGCCCCAGTTGGGAACGCGGCGACCAAGGCGCGGGGCGGCCAATCAGGCTCCAGGAGGCAGTTTCGAACGCCTTCCCACCTGCCCTCACCCCACCCCCACCTCGGCCCAGGTGAGGCATCCCGCCCCCTCCCCCGGGGCCAGGGGCGGCCCCTGGCGCGTCTGGGGCGCGGACCTTCTGAAACCCCGCCGCGAGAGGCTCACGACTTGGTTTCACTTTATTTTCTCATTAAATGAACATTCTCTCTGCTGCCCCCCATTCCTCAGCTTTGGCCTTTCAGTGCCTGTTTGGTTCAGTTGGCCTCTTGGGGTCTGCGATGGCAGGAGAGGAAAACGATGTTGCAGGACGGGCCCCAGGGCGGCCACAGGCTGGGCATCCCCGGCGTCCCGTCTCCTGGCCAGGTGCTGGTGCCCAGAGGTGACAGCCCGAGACATGCACGCTGAAGGCACCAGAGTCTGAGCATGTAGAGGCCCCTGCCCTGACCCAGATCTGGGGGCCAGGTGTAGGGGCCCATGGGGTCTTGGCCTTTGGCCGCCTGCCTGGCTTCCCCTGGATCAGGGGAAGGTGGACCATCAAGCTTCCAGCAAACAGACAAGATGGGGAAACAGCAGCCCCACAGCTTGCCTTCCCGCAGGGGTCAAGTTTCTAGGGAAAGGAAGGGGTGTGGCAACCTCTGAGGTCTGGTAGCTGTACCCCAGTCAGGCTGTGACTTCCCCAGGCAGAGCGGCTCTTCCTCCTCTGCATCTCCACCCACTGTGAGTGGGGGCAGGGCCCCAATTCCCCCCCACCGCCCCCTAGCTCCCTGAAGATTAAACTCCCTAGCCTGCCTTCTCCAAATCATCCCTGAACTGGAGGAGGGGACCTGCCTGAGAGTGCAGCGCCCAGGTGCTGGGGGCCGAGTTTGTGGCAGAGAGTGGGAGAGGCCGCCCCTCTGCCCTGGTTGTAGGCCCTGGACCTTGTCGCCCACCCCTGGACCTGGCTCCCTGCACCATCCCCAGGTCGGCTGGGACCACTTATGCCTCTGGGGCACCTGCTCTCTCTCCTGGTGGGGGTACAGGATCAGATTCAGGGTTCCTGCTCCTCATCCGGGCATGTGGAAGGGGGCTCCTTCCCCTTCCCCAGCCCCATCCAGTCTTTGGCCCCTAGATCTGGGATGGGAGAAGCTGGACGGGCAGTAAGTCTGGCCTCTGGGGACAGAGGTTCCCTCGGGAACAGCTGCTGCTCTGCTCCACAGAAGGAAAAAGAACGTCCCCGAGCCCGCCCAGTCCAAAAAAAGAATAAGAAAATGTGACAATCCCAGGGAAAAATGCCATAACCTTTGTGAGGGGGGTTGCCAGAGGGGATCCATTCTCCTCTCATCCTCCTCAGCACCTTTCCTGTCTGCTTCGCCCCCGCCCCTCCACCACTGGGCTGGTAGGGAAGTCCCAGCCTAGCGGCTCCAAAGCAGGCCAATCTTCCTAGCCCTGGTGACCCTCGCCCCAGCCCACCTCTGCAATGGCAGGGGCAACCCACTTTTCTCTCTCCCTGTCTCAGCTAATAGGGTCTGGCCTGGGGAAGTCTGCCCCTTTCTCCGGCCTCTGACGCCCCCACCCTACCCTCAAGGAACTCGCCACGCGCCCCACTCACCAGCGACCCAAAGGCGAGGTGGGGGCGGGAGGGGCCAGGTCGTTCTGGGCCCCACCCTGGCTGCCGAAGGGGCGTGCACTGCAGCAGCAGGACTCAAGTCAGACGGCAGGAGGTCCTCCTGCGCGTTCTGGAGCGAGGCTGGCGCCAGAAGCCCCCGATCAGCTCGGGCCGGGGGCGCAGCGCCTCCCCTCCGACTGGCGGGGATGAGTGGCTGCCAGATCCAGCGGGGTGGGGGCGGGGGCAGTACGGGTGTCCCGCCTCGGCCCCTCCCCACCAGGCTGAAGGGGGGACGGGAGACGCGGAAACCTGGGTTCTTCCGGCCCCCCCCCCCACTTTGAGCAATCACTTCCCCAGGCTTTGAGCTGCAGAAAAAGGGGAACCCGCTTGCTACGCCCCCTCCCCCACGCGCGGGGACGGAATCCAGTCCCGCCGCGGCCCAGGGTCCACGTGGACCCCGCGGCGGGAGTCCTTGGGTCGCGGATCTGGACGCCGGTTTCCGAAGCTCCCGCCCCGCACAGCCCACGGGCCCCGGGCCGGAGAGGCAGGGCTCTGCCGGCTCTGCGCCCCACCCGCCCCCTCCCCACCGCTCCGCGCGCTGCGGCGCGGCGCATGGGTCCCCATTGTCGCTTAGAGTGGCCCGCGGAGATGAGGTGCTGATGCTGGGGCCTCTGGCTCCCGGAGCGGCTGAAGTGGTTCTGCGGCGGCTGGGGGTGTGGCCGGGCCAGTCCAGCGTTGCCGTTATGGGGGTGGGGGTGGGGGGTGGAAGGGGGCGACTCCATAGGCTGCTTGCCCCTCTTGAGGAAGGGAGAGGAGGCTGGAAACGACTGGACTCCGTGGTCACTCCCGGGCCATCGCTTGGCTCTCTGGCACTGAGTATCCTTCGCTGTGAAACAGGGTTAAGGGCGTACTGTCTGTCACCGTGCTGTAGGGCCTTCTCAAGGAAGGCGGTTCCTAGGCTGCAGCGCCACTGTTGTGGGGGGCGGAGGGGGGGAATGGTTCTTATATATGGGGTCGCCGAAGTCCCTGTCTGCGTGGCCGGCTGAGTCCCTTTCAACCCCTCCAGTTACCCCAAGATGTTCTAAAGTTTAAAGTCACACCTTCCCCTTTGCCAGGAATGCCTGTGTCTTCTCTTTGGCCAAATCTCGTATTTTATGACTCGGTACAGATGTGAGTTAAATTCCTTATCCCAGCATGCTGTGGGCCCGTGTTTGGACTGCCCTGACCCTGCTCTGGAAGTGGTCTGCAGAGTGTCTGTGTCCCCCGGCCTCAGAGCGCGTACAGCTCCTATCCCTTGGTCCCCGGGCCTGCTCACAAAATGCCCTACAGTTGCACAAAGTTATATGTACTCACGTGTTTCAGCACTCTTGGGGATATAAAGGGAAGGGGAGAGTTTACATACTGTCTTCATCCTGCAAATGTTTGGGTGTTCTCTACATGTCAGCCTTGGGACCTGGCAGTGGGCAGGACAGACCAGCCGCGGAGCAGACAAGAAATGGACTTGCAGACTGGGTGAGAGGTGAGGAGGGCTAAAGAGAATCACAGCGCAGAGAACGGGTGTTTCAGACCTGCATCTTGCTTGGCAAAGGATAGAACTGGAGCCAGCAGCAGCTAGGCAGAACTGAGCTGCAGAGAGTGCAGGCCAAGGCCAGGGAGGAGGGAGAGGCCCCGCGGGCTGGGGAGCCTCTTATGCTGTGTGTCCAGAGGCTACCGTGTTGACAGGCTGGCTGGGCCGGAGCAGAGGCCAGAAGCCTTCCCAGATGAGAGGTGGCTCCTTCTTATTTAGCCTAGATAACAGCCCCAAGAGGTAAGGCCTTCAAAGATGGGCCAACACTTAGTCCGGCTCACATAGCCATGCTCATGCTGTGATGCTTGACATGGCATCTCCACCTGCATCCTGAGACGTGCGGGGCAGCTGGATGTGGTGGGGGTCGGCGTACTTTTCTCCTGGGGTAACACTGGGGGTGGGATTTGAACCCAGGACCCTCTGTCTAGAGCATGAGCTCCCAGCCCTGGGGATCCCCCCCACCCTGATCTCTTATAGCCTCCAGTCATTGGGTTGTGGCTTGCATGTTTTGCTTTCTCATTGCAGAAATCTCCTTCAGGCCCTGCAGCAATGTCCTCGGCCCCTTTCCGAGGTGTTCTCTCCAGACTAAGGCCGCCTCCCTGGTGGGGTGATCAAAGGGTATCCCCTGTGCCAGCCCCCACCTGGTACAGCGCTGTCTGTGAAGGCTCCTCAGGGTTGTGTGCACCTCTCTCGTCCTCTGCTCTTCAGTGCCTACCTGTTTAGAGTGACCCCTCTCTTACGGAGCACTCACCTGGGGCCATGGTGCCATGTGAGGTCATTAAGGTTTCCTTTTTAGAGACAAAGAAATGGAGGCTCAGAGGAGTGATGAAGTAAAATGTGCTTTTACTAAACAGATGAAATCATTCCAGTGCTTGACACTTCCCCCAGAGATGGAATGCTGGGGTTCAGATCGCAGGGAGCTTAACCAGGGCAGCCAGGGCCAGCTGGCATCTGGCACATGTCAGCACGTAAGTGGCTGTTGCTCTGGGACAGAGACGTTGCTCTGTCCCATGCCCAAGTCACCCTCTCTCCCTTGTTCCTTATTCTCTCTGCCTGCCCTCCTTTAGAGAGCTCCCTCATCTCTCCTGGAGCTTCCAGAGTTCAGCTCCACACACAGTTCTGGCTTGGATCAAGGCCAAGGGTGCAACAGCTCAGAACTGGCCAGGTGTCCTGTGTGGGGGTAGCGATTGCTGGGGACACGGAGGGTTCTGGTCCCCATCCTGAGCCTGGTCAGGGAGGGCACTGGCCGCCATTGAACAGAACTCCTTGCTGACCCCAGCTCTGGCCTCTGCTGGTAGAGGATGCACCCCTCTAGGACCAGTTCTCTGCTGTAGTCTGGTGACTCTGCTGGAGCCTTCCGGCAGGGGATGGCCTTGTGTGAGGCCCCCACCTCTGTGATAACCCGCTGGACTGCCGAGAGGGAGGAGAAAGGAGAGCCGGCTAAGAGAAATCCCAGGCTCTGCAAAGAGTTTGTGTTGGGGAGAGAAGTAAATTCTTGAAGGGGAAATCTGTCCAGAAACTAAGGATGTTCTTTGGAATCCAGAGGTTTTGCAGGATGTGGGTTTGTCAAAGTGGGACAGGAGTGGTGTCCTTCCTGTCCTCTGTGTGTGTGTGTTCCAGTAAGGGGGAATCAAAGGGGCAGAGAGGGACTATCAGGATGGAAAGGAAAATCGAGGGTGACTTTCTGTCTGGACGACTCAATGGACATGAATTTGAGCAACTCATGGAGATGGTGGAGGACAGAGGAGCCTGGCGTGCTGCAGTCCACAGTGCAAAGAGTCTGACACGACTGTGTGACTCAATAAGAAGCAGAGGTCTGCCTTAAGAGATCTCCCCTTCCCCAGTCTCCCTGTCTTCTGAAGATCCTCCTAGACAGAGCTGACTGTCCGAAGGCCAGCATTGACTCTTGTCAGAAGGCCAGCGTTGGCTCTTGCAGTCACTCTCCTGCCCAGAACGTCAGCTTCCTCTCTGACCCTCTGATGGAATAGCCTGTGGTCTAGGGGTCCTGCTTTCTCCCTGAGGTTGCCCTCACTTCTGGGGTTGCAACACTTGCCCAGCCAGGCTCTTCTTCCTGGCACAGCCAGACTGGAGACCCCCACGAATTCACAGGGCACCAGGTTGCCAGCTGGGGGCAGCATGGGATTTGGGGGGTTAGGGATGTCCCTGCCCGCTGTTAATCTGATGTCCGCCTATTTGCACCTTTCCACTTCGTTGGCGGAGCTGCATCCTGTGTACCGTGATGTCCTGTGACATAGGATGTGGGAGACCCAGCATCCATCCTAACCCCTTCCCTCCGCCGGGGGACTTAGAGAGGGGAAGCGTACAGACCGGGGGATGGTTGGCATCTGAGACTTTATGTAGGAGGGTGGGGCGCGGTTTCGCGCTGTGGGATCGCTATCAACGTGGGAAGATGCTGCCGTGGACTTTCTCCTCCAGGATGGTCTCCACTCGCCTCCTCTGCGGGGGAAAAGGGGGCTTGGGCTCGGGGTGCGGGCGGGCCTTCCCTCCCGCCCCTTCCCGGGCTCGCGGGCACCTCTTGCCGGTCCAGGGGGTCTGGGATCCTCGTGGGCTTCAGCTGCGGCGGCAGGAACAGCTCCAGCCGGATGGCGGCGCGCGCGGACCTCTGGCTCTGAATGAGGAGCGAGATCTCCTCCGCCTGCGGGATCGGGGTCGGGGCCGGGGCCGGGCTGTTGCGGAGCCTTAGCGACGACGGGTGCCCGGCCTGGCCTGTAGCGCTCCCATCCCGGGACTCCCCCCGCCCAGGCCCCGAGCCTGCCTCACCCGCATGCGGGCGTAGCGCAGCCGGAGCGCGCGGACTCGGCCGCGGGCCTCGGCGGCCTTAAGGACGCCTAGGAGCCGGTCCTGGCGCTGCGCGGGTGGCTCGAGCGGCAGCGTCCACGCACGCGAGTCTGGCATGCGGTACCCCACCTCCGCTGACTCGCACGGGAAGAGGCAAGAGGTCGCGCGCACGTCCTCCAGCACGTCGCCGAAGAGCAGGTGGCTGCGGCGCTGCGCCGGCCGCATGGCCGCCAGCCCCTCCAGCGTGAGGGCCCAGCCCGGCCTGGGGGGCTCCGCCTGGGCACGCCCCAGTCGGGCCCCTGCTTCCTGCTCGCCCTTGTTCGCTCGCTCCCGCGGGCCCCTCCTCCCGGTCTCCTTAGCTGGCTTCAGCTGCATCCTTGAACCTTGTGGAGGGAAGACAACATCCAGCCCTTGCCGCCCGCCCCTTTGGCCTGACCTGGGCCCACCTTGGGCGCCCAGCTCCAGACCCTCTGGACCCTGCGGAACCCACTTTAGGGCCTGGACCTCTGATCTCTGCACTTTTACCCCAACCTCGCACACGTCCCGGTCAGCTCAGTCTTTCTATTCACTCCGGCAGTTCGCTAGAACTTTCTGATCCACTCCCTTCCTGCCCCGGGTCTGTTTCTCTGTCCACTGAGAAAAGGCTGAGACCCCTGAGTTGACCTCAAGCACTGCCCAGGGGTGGAGACTGCTTGAGACTGCTCTGGGTGAGGCTTGGTGGACACTCCCCATGCCGGACCCTCTTTGTGTTTAGTCCCACCACCTGCGTTGGCCTTAGGTCCCTCTGTTTTAGTGTTAGGGAGTGGAGATATAGGTTGTGGGTCTTCCTTGTGTCTGAGCAGACGACTCATGCTTTTCTGGGAGATGTGTGTGTGTGTTTGATTTTCTTATGTGGGTCAGTTTGTCTGTAGGAGGTCTCACTTGTGTGCGGTGGAGGCTCAGAGTCCAGTGGACAGCTGGCTTGCTGTGGGGGAGATGCCATCCTCCCAGCCTGTCCCCTCTGGGTCTAGATGGCCTAAAGGAGTGGAGCCCAGGGAGGAGATGGGGGGTGGGGAGGGAGGGCCCACTAGGTGGGAAAGGGAAACACCCAGAAGTCCCTACAGGGCACCTTTTTTCACCCAGCCCTTCCCACAGACCCCAGGCCAGCTCCCGGCCCACACTGGGACAGGGGCTGACGGCCGCTCCCTCCCCCACCCCATCCTTAGCAGCGGGCAGTGGAGTGCCCCGAGCCCTTGCATCCCATCCCCACACCCCATACTTTCCACCTTCTCGGATCTGAGCCTCCAACTCAGCCGGGACTCTCAGGGACTTGTTGACGGTTGCTCGGTAACCAGGAGACCCGCCCCTCCCCCATGCCAGCAGGGGCGGGGCGACCCTCGGAAGGTGCGCAGTTAGAGCCTTGGTCCAAGAGCGAAGATGCCCTGGACACCTGCGCTGAGGGACTTTCCAGCTGTAAGGACGCTGGGGGAGATGACCCCAGCTTTTCCAGACAGAGGGCAGGCTCTTTGTTTTCTGAGGAGCCCCAGAGGCGCTCTTCCACGGGCTGTGGGCTCAGCTTCCTGGCTGGAGAGCTGTCTACTGGCCAGTTTTGGGGTTAAGGGGCGCAGCTCTGAGGACATCTTCCAAGTTGAGCCCTTTTCCCCTCTGCATGGCCCTAGAGGCCTCCCACAGCAGAACACGGGGTTTTCCCCTCTCCCCGGGTAAGTTTGGGGTCTAGGGGTCTAAGACTAAGACTCAGGCTTTGATGAACTCTGAATCTCTGGGTCCTGGCTCCTAGAATCCTGTTATCTACGTATTTATGAGTTTCATGATATTTTATTACTGATTCACTTAATTTGATTCTTTAATTTGTTCATGCACTCATCAGTTTATTCCAGATTCATTAATCCATGAACTCATTCCAGTTTATGTTAGACCAGAACTAGTGCATTAGGTCCATAATTTGTTCATGTATTAGTGGTTCCCACAGTGCTGACATGCCTCTCCCTTTCATTCCTGGTTGTCTACTTGGGCCTGTGGATGGTGCCTTTTTGGGAGCTCATGACCTGAGTCTCTGAGGGGAGGGACTGTCTTGGCTTTGGTGGGGGTGGGTCTCAGCTGAGGTTCTGACCTTTTGGAAGGAGGCTGTTGACTGTTCCCATTGTTTTTTGAAAGTTTGCTCTGGCTTCCGGTGAGAGGGTAAGCTCTGATTCGGTAGCCCCATATCTCCAGAGCTGGCATGCCATCCACCCCCTTCCTGAAACTGCATAGAAACAGTCCATCCTTCCCATCCCCAAGTTATGAGAAGCTGTCCCTGGGACCTTCCCCTTCCTGCTGCTGGGCTGGTTCCTTTAGGATAGGGCTTCCCTGGTGGCTCAGATGGTAAAGAATCTGCTTGCAATGCAAGAAACCTGGGTTCGATCACTGGGTTGGGAAGATCCCCCTGAAGAAGAAAATGGCAACCCACTCCTGTATTCTTGCCTGGAGAACTTCATGGACAGAGGAGCCTGATGGGCCACAGTCCGTGGGGTCACAAAGAGTCAGACACGACTAAGCGACTAACACAAACACACTAGGCCTTGGGATTCAGCTTCACCTGGGGGCTGCTGCTGCTGCTGCTTAAAAAAAAAAATTTTGTGTTTTAAGGGTGTTCTTGATTTAGTGTTGTGTTAGTTTCAGGTGTATAGCAAAGTGAATCAGTTATACATATACATATATCCACTTTTTTTTTTCTAAAGTAGTGTGTACCTGTCAGTCTCAATCTCCCAATTTATCCCCTCTTCCCCCCTTATTCCCTGGTAACCACAAGTTTGTTTTCTACATCCGTGACTCTACACCTGGTGGCTTTTGAAGACAAAGGTCTCTGGGCTCCAGAAGAAGCAGTGAGGGCTTAGGCAGGCTGACTTAGCAGGCTGCCTCCTTCAGGCAGGCCTCCTGGATATATGAAACCCAGGCTGGGGCCACCTCTAGCCCTTACTTGGTGCTCCCCCAGGAGGGAGTTCTCTGAGCCAGAAGTCTGGGCCCTCTTCTCAGCTTCCCTGGGCCCAGGCCAGGGGGCTCCAGGGGGAAGAGGCTTGTAGGAGTGGGAGTTATGGTGTGGATGTGGGGTGTGGGGAATGGGCACATTCTCCTGCAAGAAGGGATTCCCTCTGTTTTTGTAGGACTGAGAACCTTTGACACCCTCTCCTCCTGATTCCCGAGGGGCCATATGCTGGCAGAGCTCACATTCCTGAGTGGAGCTTCTTCTTGCTTCTCCACCATCTTCCCCACTCTCCTGGGATGGGAGGTGCTCTCGCTGTCTGGGCCAGCCAGTGTGAGATACCCTGCCACATCTGCTTGTTTCTGTGTCCAGGTCTTGTATTTGTCACGGGCAGATGGAAGTGCTGAGATCTAAGGGCATGCGGATCAATGCCAGGGCCTGGAAATAAAACTTTGAAATAATATTAATAAGTGTTATTAAATGGCTGCAAAATTTAACATGATATCACAAACCTACAATTCTCTGTCACTGTATGCAAATATTAAGAAGTTAAGATCACAAGGAAAAAGTAATATTTTATGAAGAAGCCCAGAATTATGAAAATCCTTTTACCTTTTAACAGTACAATTAGTCTGGTGACTGAATTCCCTGGGGATGGCTGAATTCCCTGGAGGCTGCCAGCAACTGTGCTTTGATTCCTGTGCCCTGCTCAGGGGTGGCGAGACATGTGGGGACGAAGGGGCAGCAGCCAGTGTGCCATCTGGCGTTGATGGGCCTGGGTCCCTGGTGCAAGAGTGAGGTGTTTGTGGGTGTCAACGGCACTTTGGGACCTGTGTCCTGCCCCAAATGCCTGTGACCTCCAAGAGCAGCCCTGGTCAGGCTGTCACTGCATTTGTGGACATTGGTGCTGTCCTTTGTGGAGGCTGTGTGTCTTGGGCTGTCCCTGGTGCCCCTGTGTGTTTTGTTTTGCCTGCGTGTGGTGTGTGTGTTTGGGGGGTTGTCTTACTTTGATGCAAATGCTCACATGTGTTCCTTGCTGCCCCACCTATGACACATACATTTTGTGTCTCATCCTGGCTATGCAGGGGTCCAGAAAGATGAGGCCATTTCCTGGGCCAGCCCTCTCTGTGAGAACACACCAGGGTCCAACGCTGGGGGGCTGCCATCTCCAGGGGATGTCATCAGCACCACAGCCTGGCCACCCACCAACCTGCAACCACCCTCTATGCTTTCTCTATCTGATTTGCCCTCCTGGGAGATCTGTCCAGACCGGAACTCACATTCAGCCGCACAGCAGCCTTCTAGCTCAACCCCTCCCTCAGGCTGAAGGCCATTAGGAAATGCATCTCCAGAAGCTGGCGGCCAGGTGGGCCCAGACAGTGAGGGGTGGGAGGGGATTGGCTGCTCAGACCTTGGGGAGCCCAGTGTGGTTGGGGAGGCTGCAGGAGGCTGAGACCCCCTGGCTTCCTGCCCTGCTGGGCCCCCAAGGGCTTCAAGCTTCTCCTGGAGAATGTGATGCGTGTATGTGTCCCGGGGGTGTCTGAGACCTTGATCTGCTTCTTCTCCCGTGTCTGCCATGTGACTCACATGCACCCTGGTGTGGGTTTGCGTGGCTGTGGCCCATGTGTTTGTGGGTCAGAGGTGTCTGTGCATCTCTGAGCACATAGCTGTGTCTGTGCCTTTCCCTGGGCGCCTGTGTGGGCATCTTTGTGTGTGTTTGTGAGTCTTGTGTCCTGATTACCTTTGTGATTGTGCCCCGTGTCTCCTCACGTGTCCCTGAGTTGACTGCAGTGAAGATCCAGAGAGAGATCTTGGGACAGCTTGGGATGCTGAGTCCTAGGGTATCTGTCTGCTCTGTCCTCTCCTGATTCTCCAGGTATCCTAGCAACGTTGCTGCCAGTTGCCTAGCAACCAGGTCCCCATCTTTGGAGACACATGCTCCAAGCAGGGTCCGGGCTGTGTGGGCAGAGCCTGGGCGGGAAGAACGACCCCATGATTGGGTAGGGCTGGCAGTTCTGCTCAGGGGTCACCCGTATGACATGTGACCCCAGTGCTGGGAAGGAGGCATGTTCAGTGGTGTGGGCGCTGGGGACCCAGGCTGTGAGGGAATGACGCCCAAATGTTTCTCTGGGACTCAGCTGTGGCAGAGTTGCCCTTGGTGTGTCTCCAAGTGGCAGACAGACCTGGGTTTGAACCCTGTCTCTGCCACTTCGACAGGTGGCTTCATACTGCTGAGAAGCTGAGGCTTACTTCTCTTGTGGGCACAAAGGTGATGCTGAGGGCAATGGTCAGAGGTAGTGGGGATGGACGA